AAATGCCTGTATGATGAGACTTCAGGCCCGCGCGTAGCAGCTAGCCAAAGTGCACTGAGTGACTTGCAAGAAGCAAGCTCAGAGAGAAGCAGTAAGGGAGGTACCGCGGTAAAAGGTGGAAAAAAGGAATATAGAGCTCAAAAAAGGAAAATGCAGGGAGGGAAAGCGCAGCCCGACCTGCAAAGGGAGAGAAAAAGAAAAAGAGAGAAAGAAATGTAAAAGTACCAGGAATAAAAATAACAAAGGAAAGGACAGGACAGAAGACAGAGGAGATAGCCTTTTTCTGTCAGAATTTAAAAATTAAATATTTCTGAGGATGATTCCTCTTCTTCCTCTTCTCTTACTTCCTCAAGTTCAGGGGAGGAGGCGGGGGAGGAGCTAGATTCAGAGGAGGAAGCTACTTTGGAACAGGAAGCGGCAGGTTATGAGCGGTATCGCCCATCTCCGTCTGCCCCGCCTTATGAGGAAATAAGCGTTAGCCCCAGGCAGAGAGGCGCACTGCAGGGTGCTTCATTCATTCACCCTGAAGAGCGAAAAGAGCTGTTTCTTACCTTTCCTGTCTTTGAGAATGATAATCAAAGGGGCTGGGAGCCAGTAAACGCCAAGCAATTAAAAGAGCTGGCGGAAGCTGTCAGTGGAATTAAGCTGGGGTTAGGGTGTTTTCCTCTGACATTAGGAGGGACAGTATCGGTCCTTGCTATTGTGTGCCCCTAGAGTATGAGAGTTCTGTCCAGACTCCGCGTCGGCCTCAAGAGATCCTTCATGCGCAACTTTGATACGCACAGTGAGATTGGAATGTCATTGCTGTGCGTCAAGGCATTATATGTCAATGTGCCATACTCAATTGCCGTCAGTAAACGGATTTAGTTTTATAAAGTGTGATTCGCGAAGTCTCATTATACCAGGGGATAAGACAATTTCGGTGACATGGAGCAATCCCGAGTAATCCACAGAGTCCCTAGCAGTGGGGCAACTTCAGCATGGATTTTTGACATGCTCACAGGGCAGAAGCTCACAGTGGGTCAACTAAATCACGGTCGCTACCTACCCAGATAGTGTTGTAATGTTTGGTTCCTCACAGATTTCATGCACTTCACTAGCTAAGCATTTTTTTCAACCGGTAGGGCAGCATGGAATCAGGAGCTTCTGATGAGACTCCCATTACTCGTAGGACGAGAGAGATCTGAGTGGATAAAACTCAATGTGACATTAAATATTATCAGAGCCCCTGCTGTACCACTCAATTTGTAGCGTCATGATAGGTCTAACAGTAGATTGGTGCTAGAAGGAAGTACCAGGTATATATTGGAAGTAGTGCGCAATCTCTTAAGGGTTGACATCAGCATGCTAGTAGCTGGGACTACAGGCATGCGCCACCATGCCCGGCTAATTTTTTCTATATCTATTAGTTGGCCAATTAATTTCTTTCTATTTATAGTAGAGACGAGGTCTCATTCTTGCTCAGGCTGGTTTTGAACTCCTGAACTCTAGCAATCCGCCCGCCTCGGCCTCCCAGAATGCTAGGATTACAGGCGTGAGCCACCTCGCCCGGCCATGACTTGAGTCTTAACTATGTGGGGGTTGTTTTAGTTCAGTTTCCGAACTCTATGTTACCTATGCTGCTTGGCCTGTGGGCTGGAGAGTCCTCTGCATTCTTTTGCAGCTGGTGTGCTAAGTTATGATTGGTCGATTCATAGGGTGTTCCCTCCTCCCCCAGGTATGGCAGTCACTTGGGAGAGGAGTAGGGTGAAACAGGACCAAGATGGGGGCCTGATGTCCACCCTTGTCCTTCCTCCCAAATGGGGCAATTATAGCAAGGCAACAGCACCCACTTTCATCCCTAGGAGACCTGAAATCCCTCACTATCTACCTAACATAAACACTTAATATCCTTTTAGACACTGCTCCTGTTGCTGTTTCCCAGTTTGTTTTGTCCATGGTTTGGGTACTTTTTATATTACACCATTTCACAAATTGGCCTCACTTTGATGAGAAGTCAACCCCAATTCAAACAGCTATGGCTGGAGAGTCAGTCACATGGTACAAAATATGGTCATGTAGAGGTGCTTTGTCACTTGAGGTTTGTGAGCAGTCTAAGCTCAGGTAGTAGATGGAGAGAGAGTTTAAATGTGGTTAATCACTAGGTGATGGAACACCTATTGAGGGTAATTACTACGCTCAAGGACAGAGAAATGGGTGATGTTTATTTATTTTGTTATTTACTTTTAAATTTAAGAAAGTTTTGTTGAGCAAGAAAAATTTTCTGGAACTGGGCAGCATTCTGGACCAAAGATGATTCAGAATGCCCCCACCACCAAGCAGTGAGTTTAATTTATAATCAGAAAATGTTACTAAACCAAACTGGGATCTGCTCACCCCAAACAGCAGAGCCAGACACTGACGCCAAGAATTGCAGTGGAAAATAGAGGCATTTTTATTGCATGATGCCATGCTAGGAGAATGGGCAGCTAACCCTTAAGACCCAAACTCCCCTATGGCTTACAAGCAAGTGTTTTTTAAAGGCAGAGATATAAAGTTGCAGGCAAAATTGTAGATCAATACATGGAGGTTATACATTGGTTTGGTCTGAAAAGGCGGGATATATTGAAGAGGGGATATAGGGGAGATAGGTGGATTCAGAGATTCTTTGAATAGCAATTGGTTAAGGAAGCAAGGTCTTGTCTTGGACAGGAATGTTAAGGTGGGTGTGACTTTCTCCAGGCCCCTCAGAGAGAAAATTTAGACTAAAGAATGGCCATCAGAGTTCAAGCCTCAGTTTCCCCTTATTTGTATTTTTTTTTTTTTTTGAGACAGAGTCTGTTGCCCAGGCTATTGTGCTATTGCATCAGCCTAGCTCACAGCAAACTCAAACTCCTGGGCTCAAGCAATCCTCCTGCCTCAGCCTCCCAAGTAGCTGGGACTGCAGGCACCCATCACCATGACCGGCTGTTTTTTTGTATTTTTGCTAGAGACTTCTATTTTTGGTAGAGATGGGGATCTCCTGCTCTTGCTCAGGCTGTTCTCAAACTCCTGACCTCAAGCAATCCTCCTGCCTCCTCGGCCTCCCAGAGTGCTGGGATTACAGGTGTGAGTCACGTCACCTGGCCTATTTGCATTTTCTATCTTGTGACGGTTGCTGAAAAACAACTTAAGAACATAATGTTAAGATGTTCCCATGGAACTAAAACACCTCTTGACTCTGCCTTGCTTGGAGGACTATTGTTACTACTATCTTCTTGCTCATCAGTTTGCCCATTTACCTTTTTTTTTTTTTTTTTTTGAGACAGAGTCTCGCTTTGTTGCCTAGGCTAGAGTGAGTGCTGTGGCATCAGCCTAGCTCACAGCAACCTCAAACCCCTGGGCTCAAGCGATGCTGCTGCCTCAGCCTCCCGAGTAGCTGGAACTACAGGCATGCGCTGTAGTCCCATGCTCAGCTAATTTTTTCTATATTAATTTCTTTCTATTTATAGTAGACACTGGGTCTTGCTCTTGCTCAGGCTGGTTTGGAACTCCTGACCTTGAGCAATCCGCCCGCCTCGGCCTCCCAAGAGCTAGGATTACAGGCGTGAGCCACCGCGCCCGGCAGGACTACCTCCTTAATAGATTATTGGGAGGCTCAAAGAAGCTAGTCTGTGAAGATACTTCAAACAAGTTAAAGTCCCATACAAATGTATATTTGTTATCTTTAAGCTAGAAGACATTTAGTTAACTTAATGCCCATGATAGTGGTTAAAACATAGCATTCTGCAAAATCTTCCCTTCCTTGTTGCCTAAAATGCCATTTGTATTTACAGTGAGCTCCATAAGCTTGTTCTGAAGCCATCAGGATATGTGACTATCAGTTTAATATCTTCAAGAACATTGTTCCTAGAAATGTCGCTGCAAATGCCCTAAAAAGCCCTCCTCCAAATGTGAAATAGGCTTATAGGTTAAAACGGATCATGCGATCATCCAAGAGATGAGGACTGGTAATAACACTGCCATCTTATCAGAAAAGGTTAAAAAGGGACCTCCAGTCTCAAATTATGTTTGGAACACATCACATTTTGTCAAACTAATAAAGTTTAATTTCCCAAAATTTTATTAAAAATGGACTCTGTCATCAGATATCTTATTGCAAAGATGAAATCTCACAACAGAACAGTCAAGTTTGTTACAATAACAAGCTTTAAACAAATATAAATTCTTTTTGTAGTTCTTGAACTCGAGAGTTTTTATTTATTTATTTATTTTTTATAAATGGTGTTTTCCTTTTTCCATGAGCCACAAACATTTTCCCACAAAAACTTTTGTTCATTAAAGTGACTTTAAGTTGTTAAGGCAAGGAGGTGGAAACAGGGAGAGGGAGGGGGCGGTGTTCAGATAAGTCTTTGAAAACTTAGAAAAACAATTCTCAGTCTATTTCTTAAAATCTTTATTATCTGGTATTCTTTTGGTGTAAAAACTGCATTTTCACTTTGAGAGTTCAAAGTGATGAAAAATAACTAATCAACCATAGCAGTCCCACTACAGATACAAAGCTCAAACTAAAAGGATATTTTCAAATATATTCTATGACATACTTTAATATATTTAGCTATGGCTACCTTAGGTGGATATTTTTTAGATAAAATTTTTCCTTAGGTAGCACTTTTGGTTTTAGGTGCTGAGGTAAATGTCTAGGAGCAGAATATGTGTTTTAAAACACTCCTTTCCAAATGAAAATATTTTGTAGTTAACAAACAAAACTGAACATGACCAATATCCTAAATATAGTACCAACTCCATTATCATTTCCCTTGCAAATTTTCCCCTGGCATTTTTACATACATACAGCTGTCAGTTTTGGAGGGTAGCGGAGGTGTAATAGCAGTATTTACATTTTTGTTTATCTTCATGAGAGCTGAACAGATGTGTAGCCAGTGGTATAGGTATTCAATGATATTATTACCAAATTTCCATACTTCCATTCGGGAATGATCTGTATCAAGGAAAAAAAAAGTTAGAGTGATAGTTCTATTATTAAACTACATCAGGGCCCGGCGCAGTGGCTCACGCCTGTAATCCTAGCACTCTGGGAGGCCAAGGCAGGCAGACCGTTTGAGCTCAGGAGTAGGAGGCCAGCCTGAGCAAGAGCAAGACCCCGTCTCTACTAAAATTAGAAAGAAATTATATGGACAACTAAAAAAATATAGAGAAAAAATTAGCCGAGCATGGTGGTACATGCCTGTAGTTCCAGCTACTTGGGAGGCTGAGGCAGCAGGATCGCTTGAGCCCAGGAGTTTGAGGTTGCTGTGAGCTAGGCTGATGCCATGGCACTCTAGCCCAGGCAACAGAGTGACACTCTGTCTTACAAATAAATAAAATAAAATAAAAAAACTAATATTAATGTACCTTTATTATTAAAATTATAAGTTCCAATATTATGATTATAGTTCATTAAATATGTTTTGAGTCAAAATCATATTTGAAGCTTGTTTAAATATGTAATTATAGGAATATGGATAGATAAGTTTTGGTATGTTCATATAATGGAATACTATGCAGCAGTTAACAAAGAATAACAGAGATATATCACTATGGATAAACCTTAAAAACATATGAGCACAAAAAGTAAGTTGTAGAATAATATATACTTTTGAGTACTACTAAAAAAGTCTAAAAACCTGAAAAGTAATATTATGTTATTTATGGATTCATAAGCATATAGTAAGAAAAGTAGTCATGTATGAAACTGGTAAATACCAAATTCATGATAGCATTATCTCCAGGGAGGAATAAAAGAAACTGGGATTGTGGAGGGGTAGAAAGCCTCAACTATTCTTCAATGTTTTATTTCTGTAAAAAAAGTTTGACTCAAACATGGCATAACGTTAAGGTTGGATATATTATAGAATACAGTTCCGTAATGACTACAAAGGTATTATTCCATGTTTGAAATATTTCCTAATTTAAAATTATTTAAAAATATATAGTCTCTACACACTGTTATGTGTGTAAGTTTGTTAAATTGAAAACTGTTAAACTGTCATTCATAAAAGTTACTTTTTCCCAGGAGTCAATGATTAATATTCTGATAGAATGGTCCAATGGAAGGAGTATATATATACTTGAGAGTTGAATGGGTCTGGGTCCTAACTTTGGCTCTACCCCAACTAGCTTTGTGATCTTGAGTAGGTCATTTAAATGTTCTGAGTCTCAGTTTCTTCTTCCATAAAACAGAATTGTTATAAGGATTAATAATATACAAACATCTGTCACAGAGTAGTTGCTCAAAAATTACCTTAATTATCTTCCTTTCAGAGGCCTCCCACCCCCAGGTCTATGTTTTATTTGTTTTGGTTATTCTTAGTGTCTAACTCAGTGCTTAACCTAATAAATGTTTGCTGATTTGAGCTGAATAAACCATTGTGTTATAATTAAGAACTTTTAAATATCATATCTTCTAATAGCTTATTAACAGTAATGACAATAATCTATTAGAATTACAAAACAGAACATATTTTATTTCCCTGCCTTTTTTTAATATTAAAAATGTATTTCCATGCTAATTTTCTCTGTATTGTTCCAATTTTAGTACATGTGATGCCAAAGCGAGCACTTATTTTCCTGTCTTTTATCAACACAAAGGAACAAGGTTTCCTGAATTAGGTTTAGCTTTCCTATAGTTTTTTTTTTTTTTTAACTTTGGGATCCTGATATGATTTCCTCTTGTTTTTTTTTTTTTTTTTTTTTTATAAACTCTACTCGTGTGGAGATTTCCTCTTGTTTTGAAGGAACAACTACAACAAAAAGTAATATAAGAGATAGGAAAGGCACATAAAATGTGGAAAACATTCACAAGTCTCAATTTTTCTTTGAAGTTGACTTTAAAACATATAGAAACAATTATTCTAAAATTCTCTGTCTTAAAACACACACACACACACACACACACACACACACACACAGAGGCACTGTTTTTTCTTACTCGATTGTAAGTGTTCCATAAATGTTGAAGTGAAACATTAAATTAAGGAATAACTGAATTAGGTTTTTCAAATACTAAAGAAGTCTTTCCAGATTATAGCTCAGAAACATTAGTGACAATTATGAATAAAAACAAAACCATCAAAACATCATATGTGCCCTGTAAAGATATACAACTATTATGTACCTACAATAACTTAAAATTTAAAAATTAAAAAACAAAACAAAAATAAAATAAAATAATATGCCTAAAACCCTTGTTACATGGTTGGTGGTTGGTACTTGGTAACTACATTATAGTTACTTTCATAATGAAATATCTGCTTTTAAAAACAAAACAAAATGAAACAGATGCTAGCCATGAGAGCACATTAAAAATACCTGATTCGTCTCATTTTATGGGTAATACTAAACCAATCAATATACATACTGAAAATACTGAGGATGCATTTATAAATTGATCCTTCTTTCTACTAATTAGCTTCCTGTAAACTTTACAAGATAATGCTACAAAACTCCAAAGATTACTTTGATTATCTTAATGTCCCAATATTATGAATCTAATTTCAATAAAATAAAATTCACCCTAAGACGCTCCTAAAACCAGTCCTAATTTTCTGAGACAAAACAGCTAGCTCTGCCGCTCCCCACAGCTTTTATTCTGCCTTTCCCGGTTCCCCATTGAAGAGCCCTCTGTTCCAGTGTTCTTATCTGAACATCCAAATGAACAGACCCCTATCTGCTGCCTTTATTAAGCCGGTCAGCATCTCCATGGTGATTCAAGGACACCAGGATGGGGAGCGAGGTCACTCTCTTTCATAAGACCCTGTTGCTTATATCCTGTCTCATTGTTACCAGGGACTGAAGCTCCGCACGAACTGTCTGGGCGGTGGTTCCTGTTTCCCCGTCCCTTGCAGAGACTGATGCATTAACAACAGGCTCTAACGTGAAGCCTCGGGTGCTCTGTCGGGTTCCCCATTAACGGCTGAGCGCTACTGCCCTCTTGTGGCACGTAGATGCCAAATCGTTGCCTCTTGGCAGACAGAGGACCACGTTCTCACAGACTTAGTACTATTTTTTCATGCAGATGTACTACTTTTATTTCTTTTATAACCATAGAAACTTTGCTTTTTTTCTTTTTTGCTTTGCCTTGGTAAAGTTTATAGTAAATTATTTGAATACATTTAAGCTATAAAGATTACCAGGTCAATCTTTAATCTTTGGGATCCAGATATGATTTCCTCTTGTTTTAAAGGAACAACTACAACAAAAAGTAATATAAGAGATAGGAAAGGCACATAAAATGTGGAAAACATTCACAAGTCTCAATTTTTGATGCAGAAACATTTATTATGGTATTTTTGTAGGTTCTAGTTTAATCAAACTTTTAATTATATAGGGAACTCATTATGCTGGAAACATTGGGCTATAATAGAATATCTCTAAATTAAAACTCCATTTATAGATCCCCGCTTTAACACTGGATTAAGTTGAATCTTTTTAGGAATTACAAACAGTTAGTAAAAATGGGCAAAGCAAAAAGAATGAAATACTTAAGTTTCAAGTACAAAAGCTAAAGTGTAACTGCTCCTTTCAACTAACAACCAACCCAAGATCAGCAGCATTTCCTGAATGCTCCTGTCCTTCATCATTAGTTCTCTTAGTTTAGTTCTTATTTTAATTGCTTCACAGATCCCCAAGTCATTCCTTAACATCATTGCCACACACAATGAACTGAAGGTCCATGAAACAATGCATACTTAAAAGGGGATGTGTATGCAAATTCCTATGCGTTTTTATGTAGGCAGGAGAACTCATACTTGCTATGGCAGTTGGGCACTTACAATAATATCTCATTGTTAATTTAATGTGGTCCCAAAGGTGCTGTAGAGTAGTGCCTACCAGGCTTATCAGGAAAGAATCAGTGTTAAATGGGGAAGTAAAAACACATTTTTTTTGAGTTATCAAAATTTGGGTGGAAAGTGCTCGCTTTGGCAGCACATATACCAAAATTGGAACAATACAGAGAAGATTAGCATGATCCCCGTGCAAGGATGACACACACACACACAAAAAAAGTTTGGGTGGAGGTTTGTTCCAGGATGCATGGCGAGTCCTTACAGGTACATTAGTTTCATTCCTTTTGCAAGCATAATTTCTTTACAATATCATGTGTAGTGATGATGCAGCTATAAATCAAATCATGTGTGAATTGAAATCAATGTAATTTATCTTTACAAAAACTAGTAGTTTAATGAAGTGGCCTGTAAGCACTTTTGATCATGGACCTCTATCAGTAATAAATGTTGAGTATGTGACCCAATACCTGTACATTTATTTATAAATTATTTATTTTAAAACATTTTAAAACAAAAATAGAAATTAGACAAGGGTGAGTTAAAACTATCATAAATAAAAGTCCTTTGGTATTTTTCTTGCACCCCAAAGAACAGTTTTTTAAACCTTCTGGGGTGCTTATACTCTACTTTGGAGACCACCAAGTTAACGTGTGAAAAACATGGAATGGGTAGTACTTTTCGTGATAATTAACATGCATTCAATTTTGCTGCAATCTAAAATCCTACTAAGACTAATGTAAAGGAATTAAAGAAGACATAAATCCTAAGGATGCGGAGATCAGGAAAAGAGAAATACCAATATGTCATTCCTACTCCTATCTCTTCAAAGCCCTGACAACCTGCTCTCCCATCCTCATTCCAGCTAATGACCCTGCTTTCAACTTCACTGTAAAAATTAAGGCAATCAGAAGACAACTTCCATAGACTCCCAAAAGCCCATCCGCCCACTTACTTGCATCTGCACCCATGTATTCTGTCCTTCTGCTATCTTAAGCCAATTTCTCTGTTGGTGCACTAGATCCAGGGTACTCAAGTAAACTTGCTGTCCATACTGGTACACTTGAGAGAGAAAGAGGACACTAACCAGACAGGTCACCAGGACAAAAAAGCAAAACCTGTGTTCATCCCAAGGTAAATAGGATATGTAGTTACT